TCCCGTAGAAGAAGAAGCAGACGCCATCTTCTGGTGACTCAACAGTACTGCACAATGTAAATGTCTGTTAGTCCCCATTTTAAAAGTGTTTAAAAAAATGTGGACATTCAAAGTAAAAGTTGAATCTGATCCTAACTACGACAACAGGTAGTTCAAATATTTCTATACCGGCGGTTTTGTTTTGTTTTTCTTTAGGAGAAAAGCTGGTTAGCTTTATGCTAGCTGCTATACATTGTGACCTGCTAACGTCTGATTTACCGAAACGTATCAGACTGTTTCTGTTATTTACTGAATGGAGGAAAGGTTCTCCTCCACTACCTGATAAAAATGCTGCTCTACCTATTAAACATTGTTGTTATTAATAGAAAAACTGTGTCCCTAAAACACCACACCACTGACATTAGCGCGGGAAAAATAATAAAACAGCCGTTTATTCATTTTGGGAGTGAACGGAGTCGTCAGAAGGCTGTTTTTTATTCTGTTAATAAAGTCTGACTGACTAATTTGACTGTTTATTGATGTTCTCGTTAGCGTAGCTGCATCTGGTGGATGCTAACGCAGCCCCAGCCACTACTGGAGCTTCTACTCTGATACTAATAATACTGAGGAAGCTCTAGCTGAGCGTGGCTCCGCCCACCTGCCAGTGTTTGGTGACGGCGTTCCAGACCCCGACCTTCCCCGTGTGGCTGGTGGCGATTAGCTGGTTACCAACGAAGAAGAGAGCCTCGGCCGGCACGTTCAGGCTGAAGACGCCTGCAAAATAAGTAAAGCTAACTTAAGACAAGATTTAAAAAAAAAACACAAGACAAGTGAACCTAGGAAAGCTAAGGCAAGACTAGAAAATACATCCTAACCTGGGACAGGCTAAGCTAAGACTAGAAAAGTCAACCTAAGCTAGGACATGCTAGCTAAACTAAAACTAGAAAATACAACTTAACCTAGCACAGGCTAAGGTAAGTTAGGCTCAAATAAGATTAGCATAGCTAACCTTAGATAAGATACGCCGAATTAATTAATTTAAAGCTAAAATAAACAATGTTAAAGTAAGATAAGATAAGCTAAGCTAACGTAGCCTGAGAAAAAGCTATGCAAAGCTAACCTAGGATAAATTAAGATAACACAACCTACTGTGAGATATGAAAACCAAGGCTAAGCTAAGATAGACAAGATAAGCAAAGCTAACCTAGGATAAATTAAAATAACACAACTTACTGTGAGATATGATAACCAAGGCTAAGCTAAGATAGAGAAGATAAGCAAAGCTAACCTAGGATATAATAAGCTGACATAACGTACTGTGAGATATGATAACCAAGGCTAAGCTAAGATAGACAAGATATGCCTAAGAAAAGCTATGTAAAACTAACCAAGGATAAAGTAAGCTAACACAACCTACTGTGAGATATGATAAC